GAGGAACATATGGATTATAAGACCTTCAACACTCATCTTAGCTCTAGTTTTAGCTCTAAAGATTCTATAAAATGTAACTCCAGACCACAGGCAGTGGTGTGTGCCTATAATCCCATTACTTGGGAGGCTAGAAGTATTGCAAGTTTGAGCCCAGCCTGGGCAACCCTGTCTCAAAAAAAATTATCTGTGTGTGTGTGTGTGTGTGTGTGTGTGTGTGTTGTGTAAAAGAGCTTAAATATAGCTAGTGCAAAGGGCCTTTGTTCAGTCTCAAGTAACACCACCACACGAACACGAACACATACAAAAATGTTCCAAGAATTGCATTTTTTTCTTTCACTGCACTAAAGCATAAGAAATGAAACAGACACTGTCAAGTCAGTGAACTCCCTATTTTTCAGGCAGAGCTTTTAGTAATATGCAGGATACTTTGAGTCTCATCACACTGAAACAAAGGGCTTCAACATTCACCTCTGCTTTTAGTTGTTTGAGTAATAGAGGCTTTAGTAGAGTTGGCTGGTGGAAATATTTATATGAGGATAATATTCCAGGCTTCATCTCAGAGGAAGCAGGCAAAGGACTAGGCAAAGAATAGAACAGTTAGGAGAAGCCACTTGGCAGCTGCTGTGACTTACAATAGGTAGAGATGCAGGATGTGGAGAGAATTCACAAAATTACACCTAGGTACGATCTTCTGAACTTTTTTACAACCATCAGTGTACTTCATGTTCAAAACACATTTTCTTGTATGGGTAGAAAAATGGTCAGGAAAAGGAATTATCACAACATTCTGATTTTGTTGATTGATTTGTAGAAATACAGAAATACACATATTGCTTAACAATACAAATAATTTGCACCTGAAATTCATTTGCTTAATCCCTTGGAGCCCTACAGAACAAAATGTTTGTAACAAATACAGCTGTGCTGGCGATACTATTGAGTTAGAGAAAACAAAAAGTTGGTCTCTGGTCCAAGGAACTTATAGTCCAAAGGGAAGTCAGGGAGGAGTTTCAAAAAAGCTGGCTTCCACTTTGAATTTGCTGTTTCTCAACCGTTCCCTGCACTTTTATGGTGGTGTAGCTTTATTCTAGCTATTTTTTAAAGCTGGAATGCCTGTTCTCTTCACCAGCCATCAGAACTAGCTCAGTTTTCAAGGCCCCACTTAAATGTCACTTGTGTGGAAAGCGTTTCCTATCTTACTCCACCCAGGCAAATGTCTTTCCCACTCTGTTTTGTGCTTCTGCAATCCCTTTGTTAGCTCTTGTTAACACTATCCAAAGCCATTTATATTACAGTTTGTTGTGCTTGTGGCCTCTGCCTTATTCATCAAACTATCTCTCCAACAACTTCTAGGAGGACAAAATAAATCTGAAAATAGAGGAAAATGTATGTTTAAATCTTGTTAGTTATTTAGAAAATATGTTAGTTCAGACAATATGTCAAATATATTTTCCTTCAATCTCCAGAAACTTTGCAGGAAAATGCCTCCAAATTTAAAGTAATGGGTACTATCACTAATCTTGGAAAAATATTTAAAGAGTTTTCCTACGTTTCTAGATATTTTTTAATGTCTTCAATATGATACTATCTTCCAGGAATGTTCTCAATAAATTTTTGGTGATTCTCTGCACCTTTTTTTTTCTCATGTGTAAAATGGGAATGCTATCTGCCCTACCATGTTTTGGGGGATATCACAAGGGTAAATGAGAAAATGACTATGCATAAAGTTAAAGCAGTATAGAAATGCAAAATGTTGTTCTCATTAACAATTGGAGGATTTACTTTGTGTCCATATTGTAGCCCTTGAGTATGTGGACTTTGGCTAACCCCATTGCAGCTGCATTAAAGAAGATTCTCCATGAACTGCTTAACAGGAGAAGCCAAAATTCTGATTACAGCTTAGGGCCCCGCCACAGCCATCAAAAGTTACCAAAAGGCTGCTGGGACTTCAAGTTTGTTTCCAATTGCGCAGGAGGAAAGTCATGGCCTTAACCACCTGCTTCCTGTCTCCATTGTGACTCACACCTTTCAGGTCCGCTTGGATGGAAGTTCAGATGTGATCTGCTCAGGCCCACTGCCCAGGGATATTGATGGTGCTAAGGCTCAGGTAGCTGTGCAAAAATAGGAGTAGGAAGCTGGGACCTGAGACCCAAGGGGTTTGAGAAGAGGTTACAAGAAACATTGTAGCTTATTGAGAAAAATCTGTTCAATTGTCATTATTGTTGGTGTAACTATCAGGCCTACTGCTTCCTGATAAGATGCACAGAGAGGGATCTAACATCATTCATATGATCTTCCTGCCTCAAATATAGACCCTGAATCAAATTACAAGGAAACATCAGGCAAGTCCAAATTGAATGACATTCTACCCAGTAACTGGCCTGTACCTTCATTTCAATAGTATACTGTACTGAAATATAAAGAAAGTCTTGAAATTTTGCAGGTAAAGAGAATTAAAAGGCACTGTAACTGAATGCAATGTATAATGCTAGATTCGATACTGGTCTGGCAAAATAATTGAGGCAATTAGTGAAATTTAAATGTGGACTGTAGAATATTTAATAGTATTCTGTTAGTGCTACAATTTCTGAGTTTGACACTTATAGCATAGTTATGAGAGAAAATGTCCTTCTTTTTAGGAAATATATACTGAAGTATTTAGGGGTAAAGGGGCATGCTGTTTGCAACTTAATTTCTAGTGGTTCTGAAAAACAGTGAAATACTATGTAAATATGTGTGTGTGTGTGTGTGTGTATGTAAGTAATGCATGCAAACACACAGAGAACACAAAAAATAAATGGGGCAAAATACAAATAGTGCAGTTTCTAGAAAAAGAATATGGAAGTCTTAGTTACTGCCACTCTTTAGTAAGTTTGAAATGGTAGAAAAACAACAAGCTTTAAAGGTAGAATATTATACCAAAATCTAAACGTTTATTTTATTCTAAAAGCGTGCTCTAGAAAATGAAATAATTCATTACTTGATGTTTGTTTTCTTAACTCTCTTAAGAAAGGGCAATTTTAAAAACATGAAATGGTAAACTGAAAATTGCACAGTGAAGAAAAAAGTGAGGCTCTGACAGTGCTGCCACTTGTGAACTTGATCTAGTCCTTCAATAGTTAAAATCACTTTTTAGAATCAAGTCAAAAAACAAACTGGCCTCAAGTGCCTGCGAGCCCAACTAGGAGAAATACTTTAACAATGCTAACACTCACCTCACTGTGTTTAGGAATGCTGGGACCTCAGCCTAAACGAACTATAGTCAGTTCAGTTGCACAGCTGAATGAGTAAAGAGTTCAGAGCAAATGCCCGGGGTGCCTCCAGCACTTTGGGGAGGGTACTGATGGAAGCTACTTGGGTAGATGACAGTCTTGGGAGGAAAGTGGGTGCAGAAAGGCATAGGGCAAAGATAAAAAGAGAACCAATATGGTATAGGAAATTCTTTCCAAACACTGGAACAACAGGGGTAGGCTACTTCCATCTTGGAATTTGAATATTAATAAACGTTGCTACTCAACCAGAATAACTGAAAGTTGACCAGGAAAGCAGTTTTCATTCATCTCACAATTTCCAGGTAACAGTCTACAGAGACAGCTCAGTAAATCTTGAAGTCAAATGGCTCAGCAGGACGATCAGATAGCTCACATCAGTATTACTACCAGAAGTTGAAGAAGTTATTGACATAATGGAGCAGGCATTAGGAATGCTAGGGCAGACAATGACCAGATTAACTAGGAAAATATAAGTGTGATGTAGAGAAAAGGAAATGAAAATGGAGAAAGTGGTGTGCTGTTAAATGTTTAACAACTTAATTTCTTTGGGAAATGCTAATTTCCATGGTTTAAGTATTCCAACCACGGACAAGTTCTAGTTACTAACATGTTACCAAATACAGAATTAGAAAGAGCTAGTGTGAACTGACTCCATCATACTACTGGTGGTGACCTGAGTACCAGTCCTATAGCTCACTATGTTGCTCTACTAAGTAACTTAGCCATTTGGGTCTCATTTTTTTCACCTGTATAATGACACCTCATAAGATTACTGAAAATGAAACTGATTTATCTCCATCTAAGAGGTCTTCTAGCTCTGACCATTTCTGGATATGTGATGGAGTTAGCCTTACTGGTGGTTTCTTCTCTTTTCCCATTTCACACCAAATCTTATGAGCCAGAAGACAAGTACATGTTAGAGAAAACTGTTTTACAGTATGGTAATTACAGGATAAATCATATCCCTCTTGCCTCTTTAGGTATGAGAGGTTTAAGGCAGTGACCACCCAAGATTTTCCTCATAAGAGTGATTTCTGGGTGGAAATCTGCTTGTCTGTTTGTAAAGTGGAACTAGAGATGTATACACATTTATTACAGTTATTTTTTGCCTTGCTTTGGATGGAACCTAGGACCTCATGCATGCTAGACAAGCACTCTACAACTGAGCTACACTGCAGCTCCTATTCTTCCATTATTTTAATAATATATTTATTTGGGTCAACTTAAGAGAAAATGGTTCTCAAGTCTACTCCAACATGTGTTTGTTTTTTCTTCATTCACTTCACCAAAATATGTCTGATAGCAAAGAGTTTACAGTAGAACTGAGGGTTATTCATTCATTGATGTCAATTATGTCCACTGGTAACATAAGTTGCCCTCAACACTAGTGGTGCTTCTCTGAATTAGAGAGACAAGGGCACAACCTACACAAGCTCAGAGTTATAGTTTAGTTATATTGGTACTTGGGACCTTAGTACTTTTTTCTTTTGGAAGAGGTACCAGAATGTTACCAGAAATTTTGAAAAGCAGGGTTGAGAGTAATGAATAAAAGAGACTAGAAGTTTGATCCCTGCTGGGATTCTCAGGATTTGAAACTAATGGAATCAGATGAAGAGGAATTTGGACCTCTTCAATGTGCTGTGGAAGTAGAATGGAAGAGAAAACCTCCACCCAGCCATTCAAGAAAATGTGAGTGCAAAGGGAATTAGTAAGGTATAAGAGACATAATACCTTGTGCTTCCGGAGGCTGCCAGGACTGGTGGGCGTAGAGATGGGAGACTGCTTAGACTTGGGGGTAGAGAGCTGGCTGCTGGAGGTTCCGTTTGCTAGCCCAAGGCAAGAGAAAAGGAAGGATAAAAATCAACAGCATACAAAGGAGCAAGTTATCCTATCCCTCTGAAGACACTAAGAACATTCAAACAAGGCACAAAGACAACCAAGTGATTTGATGAACAGAACAAAGGTGAAAAGAAACACATTCCTCAAAAAGGCAAGAACTGCACTCTTCAGATAATTGCATCCTCTAGCAGTGCAAAGCTCATCGTCCTAAGTTTTCCCCAGAGTGCTTCACAATCACATGCATCTGTTTCTTTTCAAGCCTTTTTAAAATTCATTCCCAGGTTTTGACCCTAACCTTTGGAAGGTAGTCTGGAAAAGTATTATTTTGCTTTAATTTTTAAGAAGAGAAAAATGAGGTATAGAGAGGTTGTGTGCCTTGCACTAATGGGGAAGAAATATGGGTGCTTTAGGCAAGGGCACATCCCATTTGATGGCAGATAAGGGTATAGGTTCAGGACAACCCCCTCTATTAATCTTGCTCCCTTCTTTTCCTGCTCAGCATCTCTTCCTTTGCTCTTTGTCCTGGGAGAAAAAAAAAACAGAAAAAAGAAAAAAAAAGTAGGCTGGATGAGAAGAATGAAAAGGAGAATGGAGAAGAAATAATGAAACATAAAGAAGGGCTAAAACAGAAAGATGGGGTAGGGATGAGAATAAGAAAAGAGTAAATGGAGGCAAGAAAGACAGCGTAAAACTGTAGGAGGAGAATGAGGGCAGGAAGAAAGGCATAGAGACACAGAAAGGTAACAATAGTGGGTACATCCCTACATGTCTATAGTCAACAAAATGCTGAACATGAGATGATTTAATTTTTAGCATCTTCATATTCCATTGTATTTTTAAATTTTTTATATTCCATTGTTAGGGAGCTTTTTAAAATCCAATCACTACAAAATAGAAATGTGTTGCATTGAAGTGGAACAATTAAACTGCTTTTATACTGGATTCATGTTCTAAAGTATTTTTTAATCTTAAAACCCACATAGTTAAGGTGGGACATTCTGAAATCTACTTTGAAAAGAAAGGCAAAAATGTAAAGGGTACAAAGAAAGTGACAAAGAGAGAGAGAAAGGCAGGGAGAAAGCAGAGAGAGAGAGAGAGGGAGGGAGGGAGGGAGAATAAATAGAAAATTGAAACACGTAAGTAGAAAGGTTGTCCAAGAATGTTGTTGTTAGTCCCATAGATAAAGCATAAACTGCTGTATTACGAGTATTTTCTGAGAATTTACCTTTTCTGCATCACTTTTGGTAAAGTTTCCCTAGCTTTTAGACCATTTACATTAGTGGTAGAAATGAGACATCAGTGTGGTGGTTACTGAGTTTATCCAAGTGCAAGAGAGCTAAAACATGTAAATCATGGGCATTTTAGGCATGCATTCTTTGGCTGTATGTGTATATTCACTTGTTTCTTACTCATTCCTTGATAAGCTTTCCTCTCTGTCATTCATTCATTCATCCAGCAGTGATGGAGCATTAGGTATAAGCCAAGCACAATACTAGATATTGGGGCTTCAGAGATGAGTGCAACATTTACTATGGGAAGGCATACAAGCATACATTGGAGTAAGTGTGAAAACAGAGTTATGCTTAGGGTATCATTGGAGCCCAGAGGACAGACTTTGATGTCAAGGTACTGGGAAGCAAACAAGAAGAGATAACACTTCAGAAATCTTGAGAGATGAATCTGAAATAGACAAATCAATAGAGACTAAAAATAAATTGAAGGTTGCCAGGGACTAGGTGGAAGAGGAGTTACAGGGACATAGGAAGTATTGACTAATGGATATAAGGCTTCTTTTGCTGAGAAAAAGTCATTCTGACAAAAAAATGTGGCAATTGTTGCACAATTCTCTGGCTAAACTAAAACTTTAAACAAGTGATTTATATGTTCTATTAATTTGCCTTAATAAACCTGTTTTAAAAAGGGCAAATTCAATCTAGGTAAGCAAAGAGAATACAAAGGAGGTTCTAAGCAGCACAGGCAAAGACATGATAATGTTAATGAACACAGTGTCTTTATAGAGTACAAGTAGCTCATAGTGACTTAAGCATAGACAGGGAGTTCAAGGAGATAGAGACAGCATAAGAACACAGGAAGATTTTTTATATGGCCTTTTAAGAAGCTTGGATTTGAGTTCTGAAGGAGAATCACAGAAAGATTTTAAACTGAACACAATGCAATCAATTACCTTATGAAACTCTGACTCCAGCTGCGTGGGAAGACTGGGGAAGGCTGGGCTGGGTTAAGAGTAGAAGCAAGGAGGCTGCTTAGAGGACATTGTAGTAGGCCATAAGTGATAGTGCCCTCAGCTATGATTATAGGAATATAGAGAAGGGACACAGTGATCAGAACATAAGGGCCAGATAAACTGAGAATTTTATGTTGACATACTATGTAAGCCACCCAAAAAGAACATGATGTGCATCCGACATCACAGAGAATGTATGAGCCAATGCCCAGGGATTTCTGGTGCATGAAGGAGGCGTTATGGGAAAGGCAAAAGTCTGGGGAGCCACAACCACTCTTCATAGAAAATGAAGGAGTTAATCATTGGAAGAATTAATGGACCACCTATAGTACTGGAGGACTTGCCTGATAAGACTTAGCCAAGAGCATTCAGGATAAGGAGAACTATTAGAGACCTGTGTGAGTAGACACAGTAAAGCTTTTCTGACCACAGCCTTGAGATCTAATAGATATGGCCATCCCTTGACACTTTGTTCCACAGGGGCACTATATCCTTCACTGATTCTAGTTTCCCAGCATTTGTTACCCACACCACAAAAGAGTGGCTAGTGCATTCCCAATATTAAAACTGTTGTTATCCTATATACTTATCTGATATCGAACCCATTGGCCCTGCAAAAACATGGAAAATCAGTAGCCACAAGCATGTCTGCATCCGAGTTTCCATCTGTTGGCTACAGATCTGAAAATATAGGCTCTTCTGCAACTTCCGGATCTTTTCACAATATCCTGTGAATTTCTTTTACCCCATAAAATTAGGGGTACTACATAAATTATACTGCATATATGTCTTGCTCTTTTCTCTGCATATGTGTAAATGTGTATATAAGCTCCACATGACCTATCCTACAGAAGCAATTGTAAGCTATTTGTAAATAATGGACTTTATTTTGTCACCAACATTCAAGAAGTATTTTGAAAATTGTTTTTGATAATTTAACCGCCTCACACTGCATTGTTGAAAAAATGGAGACACTTTTCCATACTTTCCCAGAGTTACCTAATGGAATGAAATCCAAAGATGGACATAGAAAAATGAGAAAACACAGGCATATAAGGAAAAAGTAGATTCCTTCCAACCTGAAGGCACTCCTATATTTACTGCCTAGATAAAAAAATTTTTACTTACACATTTTGTCCTTAAATTTAGGGAAAAGTCTTGAAGGATGCCATTAGACATGGATTCTGGAACTAATTTACATAAATGTCAAGTAAAAGAAGCAGCATGAAATAATTCAGATGGGTTCTGATGAATTGTGTGTGCTCTTGGATTGGTAAGTCCACGTAGAAAGGCTGTCACACTTCATTTTGAGAGGGAATAGAAATGGCACCACTGTTTAATATTCTTTATTTTTCCTTTATTCTTTCTTACTAAACATTCCTTAATTCTCGGGTAATTTGGGGAATGCCTTGGGAGGGGAAGTCTCCTTCCTCTTTGACATGTCTCTCATTTCCCACTTCAGAACCACAATACTATCTCACTGTTCTCTCCTTTTATTTATACATAATCCAAATTCTCCCTTTCCATTCTTTTCTTTGTACAGTTAGTTAACCCCTTTGCAACAATGTATGTCAAAATCTTTTCAATCTCCTAGCCTACTTTATCAATATCATCAATAAAAATAGGGAAATACTATTGTCTATGATGAGTCTCTCTCTCTCATTCTGTCTCTCCCTCCCTCCCTCCTTTTCTCCCTTCTAAACACACACACACACACACACACACACA